GTAATGACTCTCGAAAACAGCACGTAGACGCGGCTCAGAAGGGATATCGGTCTGTAGTTCTTCAAAAGGGAGTTGTCACCTTTCTTGAAGAACAAGACCACCGCACTTCTGCTCCACGCCTTCGGAGTAGTGCCACCATGGAGGACGGAATTAAAGAGCCGAGAAGAGAACAGAAGCTCCGCTGTAATTCCATCCTCGCCCGGGGACCTGCCGTTTTTAAGGTGCCGGAGAGCCATACTAATCTCGCTCAGACTGACGTCCGGGATATCATCGGAATAGTGCTATATAAGACTTGCTCTGATGTGTACTGCTGCCCATAGAACCTCTCAATCTCACTCAGAATCTCAGGTGTCCCGGAAACCATGCTGCCACACTCCGTCTTCAGCTATGACAGTTGGCTCTTACTGGCAGACATATCTCTGGCAAAGACTTTGGATCCCTGGTTCCGCTCGATCGCTTCTTCAATACGAGCAGTATTAAAGTTGCGCAAGTCTCGCCGCATGCATTTGGAGATCTGTCTGTTCAGTTGCCTATATGCTGTCAAATCTGTTGACGATTGCAGCCTTATCTCCCGTCTAACAGCCATGAGATTAAGAGTGTGATCAGAGAGTTTTTGTGTTCTTCTGCGGCGGGTCTTGCAGAACTTAGCTCCGACCGCATGGACAGTTTCCACGAGCTTGTCATTCATATCGTCCACTGCATTGTAATCTTCTCTGAAATCGGTTCCGTAACTCGAATTGAAAAGTTTCGGGATTCTGGATTAGAGCACGAGGGGGGACGGAGCGTTCCCCCCCGAACGGGTTCCCGCCTTGTCGTGGCGGGGGCTTAGAAGCCGTGGCTTGGTCACCCACAGCGAAACAAAGAGGAACCCATATGGCTGGTCCGAGGTGGAGGGCCGGCCCGAGGTGGCCACTCCGAGTGGGCTTCGGAAGCCCACTTCGGATGTGGGTTGGTGGACTGCGGTGAGCGGTGTGTCCTCCCCCCCTCCCGCTGCAGCCGAGGTGGAGTCGCGGAGAAAGAGGAGTGTTGGTATGGCGATGCGCCACTCGCCCTATCCTCCGCGACACAAACGGGGCCGCACCGTTGATTCGGTGGTGATGGGGCTGCGGGGGGGAGAGGATTGTCGGTATTGCGAGGCGCCGCTCTCCCTATCCTCCGCAGCCGAATCTTGGTTGGCGGCGGAGCCATAGACCAGATCCGCCGCTGGGGTCGGGAAGGCTAGTATTTCTAAGTGCTCGTTTTTCCTGGCCCCATGGCCTTCGCGCATCGGACGCGGGGGCGTCTGTTGCGCAGATGTAATTGGAGGCCGTGGAGGAAGGCGTGCCATGTGTTCTGGTGCGCCTTACTTGGGAAGGAGAACGGGGAGGAATATTCCTCTCCCGGTGAGGTGCTGCCATGGGGCGGCAGTCGCTGGTGGGGCCGCGGATGTGTGCGAAAGCGTTCCCGTAGCCCTGCCAATATGCGACGAAGGTGGAACACCATGGGGTTTTAGTCGGTGCGAGTCCGACATAACCCGTCCTTGCCCCCGCGAGGCGGGTATGCGTAGGCATTTCCCCATTTTAAAAAAAAAAAAAAGGGGGACGGAGCGTCGACTTCATTAGACGAGACCTCTCCAACTTAACGTTTAAGTTCTGTGTGCCTCTAACCATTCGGTGATCGCTGCCAGTTTTCACCCTGGCGATCACTGAGACATCACTGAACAGTTGGCGTCTGGTTGTCATAATGAAGTCAATCTCATCTTTTGTCGAACCGTCGGGGCTCGACCAAGTCCACTTCCTGTGGGGCTGCTTCTGGAAGAAAGAGTTCATCATGAAGAGTCCCGTTGCCCTACTCCAAATTTCCCTAACTTCAGCTCACCGCTTTCTTTATGCCTAGTTTTGCGTTGAAGTCTCCCATCAACACCGTGTAGTGGGTTTTGGAGGAATGCATGGCTCTGGAAATATCCTCATACATTTCCTCCACCTCCTCATCGGGATGTGCCGAGGTTGGTGCGTAAACCTGTATGACCTTCAGCGAATACCGTTTGGTGATTCTGAGTATCAGGTACGCGACCCTCGTCGACACACTCCCAATCTTTACAACGTTATTGACGAGAGACTTGTGGACGATAAATCCGATACCTCCTTGGGACAGATGGTCGCCCTCCCGGTGATAGAACAAGTTGCTGGACTCGAGGATTACCGAGTCCTCCCCCTCTCTTCGGACCTCGGATAATCCAATAATATGCCAGCGCAACTTGACTACCTCTTCTTCCAGCTCCAGTATCTTCTTGTCAGTCCTCAGGGTGCGTGCGTTATGTGTTGCCAGGTCGAGTCGTCGTAGGTGGCAACCGAACCTCCACCGGAGATTCTTAGCACCCCCTGCCCCGCCGTTACCATGGTCGCCACCGTAGCCAGGAATAGCAGGGCCGCTAGGGACTGGGGCCGTTGCCACGCTTGTTGAGCGGGTTGGCAACCGCAGTTTTGTAATTATATTATTGTTGTTATCAGGAAGATGCTGCTGCCCATCTTCTGCCTGTCTCGCTCTGTCGCCTTTTACGACACCCACGGGAAGATATGGGGTAGTGGATATTCTCAACCGCCACTACACGGCTTAGTTAGTCAGCATATTTTTTTATGTAACATCAAATTTTGTTGTTATTATGTAACATCAAATTGAAGTCAAGGTAAATATTAAATTTTTTAAGACGCTGATGTTTCTGTTTTAATTCTTGAGTACATACTTACAAACTATTTTACTATCAAAAAGTTTTTGTGATTTTAGGCTCTCAACGAATATTTTAATAAAACATGAATGAAGGGTAGCAACTATAAGACTGAGGTGAAATTAACCTAAATGGCAGCCATCCTCTTGACTTGACAGTGGTAGAGCCACGCAGTGGCTATTGCTGTAGCATGGATGGGTCGGATTGAACCGGGGTACGACGACCTTATAGTATACCAGCGTGAATTAGAGGTTCATCTCTGCGTTTCGCTTGGTAAGGGTAGGTTGCCAAACGCCAATTCCCCCTTCTCCTCAACATCGTAGCGGAATCACATAAAAACTACCCCAGGAGGGTACCCTCACTCCTGGTGACAGAGAATCCCTCGCTGACCATCCACGACCAATCTAATTTACTCTTCCTGAACATGGGTGCTTACGCTGCCCCGCGTATTCTGGAGGCCTTCCTCCATAATACGTGGGGGGGGGGGGATTCTGCTCGCGACTTAAACTGTTAGGAGCAAGCGGAGCAATAAGACCAAAGCGACCCCTATCACCCTATCCGTGAATTTTTGCAACATTAGGCGACTTCATTCCAATCTTAACGCTGTCCTTTGTGCCCCGGGCTGGAGTTGTTTTATTTTGTATTTACTAAAATATACTTTTTTTTTCATGTTGAAAAGTATATTTTTAATTCCCTGGAAATTTATTTTTTATTCCAACTAGTTTTTTACTATTATGTTATTATTATAATAAATATGTTTTACATTACATATGTTGTATATTTTGTCGATGGTCCCATATGGCTCGCATGCATGCGACATGTTGCAGAGCATGCGAAAAATAAGTCATTCGTTTTTAGTTAAACATAAACATTCATAAACTATAATGCCTGTAGTCCAAAGGGGTGGACAGAGACTAGAGACTTTTATTTGGCACGATCTTGACACACCTTTCTCGCTTCTTTCACATCCATATGTTCACGAGCACATGCTCGTGTAATTTTAACTTTGCTCATCATTTATATTCAATGATTAGGTTTTTCTGTAAAGTAAATATCTATACGTGGAAGAGCCATGCTGCAGTTATATTAGTAGTATTGTTGTAGCACGAATGGGTCGGCTCGACCGGGGAAGGACCACACTCTCACAGAATACCAACGTAAAATAATAGCTTTATGCTGCTATGTTTCGTATGGTGAGTGTAGAGAACCGGAGACCCTTTTTACTGGAAACGAGGCATTTCATCTTAGTCCTTACGGGTGACAACGCATCTGCATTTTTATTTGTAATCGAGGATAAATGTAGATGTCTATGGGCCAGACAGATCCATTTACCATCAGGTGGACTGTGTGCTCGTGTGTCAGCCTATCCTATAAAAAAAAATTATACACAGCATGTGTATATTTTTTTTTATTTTTTACATGTACATGTTACACTAGTCAATTAAATTTTATATTTTTATCATTTTGTTTACACAATTAATTTAGAATTTAATCTTCTATTGACCCATGTCCATCAGTGGCCGTTTATGGATCGATAAAGATGAGAACCGTGTATAGGCAAGAGAGAAAAAAGTTTAAGCTTAAATCAATCATCAGGAGGTCTGTTGGGACCAGCGGACTTGGTTCTGCGCACCAAATACCTAGTCCGACCCTAACCAAATTTGATCATCTGTTAACACAAGTTAATTATTTATTAGTACTGATTACACTTGGATCTATTTTAACCGATCCATTGGGATGTCGTATTTGTCAAAAGGCCAAGTTTTAGTGAGCTCTTTGGTTAGCGTATGGCTGCTGTTCAAATCTCACTTTTATACAGCTACGACCGCGGTGATGCGGGTAGTGCCAAGTGCGCCAAGTGTAATTCTCAATCTCATATCGTGTCACACTTACAAATAATTGTTCGTACTCCGAACAATTATTGCTGTATTGTTCACGTGCAATTTAGGTACATAAAACGTTCTCATTACTCAAGAGAAAAGTTCTAAAGTACAGGTTCCCCACGTTATGGTTTCTTATAGGCCACAAAGAGTTGTTGCAAAGTTAAAATATTCAAAGGCATTAAGCTCGTCATTCTTTTTAAACTTCTCTTCTTCGTAATTATTAAAATAAATAGGCATAAGAATGATAGTTACTAGTACTTTTCGATTGGAGATGTGTTCTCATTGTTTGGTTTTAATGAAGTGAACTATTTTAAATATTGTCATAATATAGCTCTTCCCTGATATGAATAAATTTAATTGAAAGAAAAGTACGTACATATTTAGGTACATTATAATGAGGAAAAGGAGGGCTAATGGTTTTAAATTTTGTGCGCTATGCTTCTCACGCCCAGTTTGACGTCACGCTACGGGGTTCTCGAGGTAGCCTTACCGCACCCTATTTTACTTCATCCAAAAAGGTACATGTGTATTGATTATAGAAATAAAAAGTGTTTTAATACACGACAATAGAGTTAAATATTGAAAATCAAAAATTTTAGTTCTTAATTTTATCACTAGACTGCGTGTTCTGCTCAAACTACAGTAGCGCAAAACGAACCAATCACATTTCAGGGATTTTGACGCAATTTGCAAATGGCCGTGAAAAGGATCGAGCTCCTGGGTGTATGAAATAGTAAATGGTGGAATTGTCCGTGTTAAAACTTGTGATTAAATCTTGGTTTAGTGTAGTGTTGTTAAAATAATACAAGATGTGCCAAAAAGATAGAATCCTGTTGTAATAGTGGTTTCGGAAGCGCCAGAGAACCGCTGCTGGAACAGTCTAAGAGAGCTTGCTGACTGTGGGGTAATATTCTTTCATTTTGATACATTAATCGTCATTTTATATACTGTGTCTTATTTAGAGTTTAAGTTAGAAATTAAAATTTTTAAGGGCGTGACTTGAATTATGAATTATCAAAGTATCAGTTGTTTCGGGAAATGGTTGTCGCCCGGTCATTGCGTGGTACACCCAATCAAAAAGGCAAATTATTTTATTAAATCAATCAAGAATATCATTAACTATATATTTACAGTGATTTAATATATTTTATTATATTGGCAAATTCATCTTTACAGTAGAAGATACACAGTGTAAAAGTGTATTAGTGATATTGAAAACGTAGAGGATGGGTTTCTGTAGCTAGTTGGGTGTACGATGAAAATTCTTGTTGTATTTATTGAAAACACTTCTGTTAATATATTGTTAACCTTTCCTGTGATTTGCATTTAGTTTCCTTCCTTCTGCTAATTCCTTATTTGAATTGAAAATGGTGACTCGGTTTTGCGATTATAATTGTACTTTTTAATTTTTTATGTATAATATAATGCCGTGTCTTATGTAATGCCGCTTAGAAAGAAGGAAATAGTTAATATCATTATTATTTCTTAGTCCTCAAGGGTGTTACGCCTTTATTCTTGATCATCAATGAATATATTATGTTGATTTTATCTATGGAGTGGTGTATTTGTTCCTTTTATGATATTTTTTTAAAATAGATTTTGTCTGAAATTAAAAAAAAATATTCTATACTTCAAAAATTTGCTTATTTTTTTTTTAAATTGTTATAAGCCAGTAATAGACTACTACTATCTCAACTACTTGGTGGTAAATGGTGTTGTTACCAAAGATGATAAAGTATATTGACTTAGCTCATAAAAGCCTCTAAAAACTCTTGACTTGAAAATACCTACATTGTAATAGTATGGAAAGGCAGATGCTGGTATGTACAGAAAAGAAGTGAAATAAAATTTCACTTCTTTCCTGTACCTACTTTAAATAACAAAGTACCATTTTGTTTGTATTTATTTTTTTATTATTTGCACATTATGGTAACAAAGGGGTGAGGCTGATTGTGCATCTGGTTTTCTGATGATAAAAGGAAAGGGAAAGAACTATCACACGCTGAAATGTATGAATGCAGAACACCAGAAAGCTGAATATTTCCAATTATTTAAAAAAATATTTTCAAATTTAGAACTTTACCACACCTTATAAACAGCCTTAAAAACAAAGTAATATTACAAGAATAATGAAAGTCATTACTTACATGATTTTGTATGTCGTAGAGCCATGCTGCAGTTGTATTAGTAGTATAGTTGTAGCACAAATGGGTCGGCTCGACCGGGGAAGGACCACAATCACAGAATACCAGCATAAAATAGTAGCTTAATGCTGCTGTGTTTTGTATGGTGAGTGTAGAGAATCAGAGACCCTTTTTACTGGAAATGAGGCATTCCGTCTTAGTCCTCAGTCCTCACGGGTGACAACGCATCTGCATTTTGAATTGTAATCAAGGATAGATGTAGATGTCTATGAACCGCAACAACCACACCATCAGGTAGACTGTGTGCTCGTTTGTCACTCTATACTATAAAAAAATGAAAAGTAGCATCTATACTGTGTTGGCCCCTACATAACAATTAGCACAATTTTTTTTTATTTGTGCTTTGCACAAATAGCAAATGCAAATGCATTTTCCACACCAAAATTCGCCAATGACCTGATAAGTGTGAGCAGTAAATTAATTGAGATAGAAGACTGTATAGGTAAGGAAAATCGAAGATACGAAATGGTTTAGAATTCCATTTGGATCCAGTAGTTAGCGCTGTTGTTGAGATTCAGAAAACGCCCTTGTGTAACTGGGCTGGTACTTAATAAAAAACTTGAATTTGTCTTTCATTAACAGTTGTGACAATGTCATCTAGCAGGAAATCAGTTAAGTTTTTGCTTATTATGTAAGGCACTAGCGCTGCCCTAGATAGAACCTGTAGAGTTTTTCCTGCCCTTTCCTCTAGGTGATGCGATAAGTGACATTCAGATTCACTGATCTCTGAATTCACTCCTTTTTAGTTTAAATTTAATTTAACACAATATAAAATCTAAATTTAGTCTTTTTTGGCACTAAAATACCATCGGATAGTACCGCTCAGAACCATCATCAAACCAAGTAAATAAATTATGTGAATATGACATCAATCGGTCAAGTCTTTGAAGTTACATGATTGCTAACTGACACAAACAATTATAGTAGCAACTTTACTGTATCTGATGCTACTCAGAATAAGAGAGAATTCAAACCCTTCGGTTTTTAAAAAAGGATTACTTTTTCCTCATAAAATGCAAATGTTTTCTTTTTATATGATATAATATGTTTCTATCTGAAGCTTATGTATCTTATTTTATTTATTTAGATTAACAGAATAGTAATTTTTTTCACTTCTTACGAGTTCATTATGTATTCCGGACTAACATGTTTTTAATAGTTATAACAACTAGAAACGAAACTGTAGTTGCCATCTTAGCTACTTATCGTGACAATCATGGCAAATATCCTCCTTACGTGTCAATCTTTAGGGTGTATGTTCAGCAGCAGACTTGTATGGGCTGTTATATATATAAAATATTTTTTATAGTGGCAGCATTGAAATTATTCCTTTGTAACAATTTTTGCTAGGTTTTCCACACTAAGATTTTCTCCTGTATCTTGGGGTAGGGCAGACAAGACTTCACATAGTCTTGTCTGCCCTACCCCTAGTGTTTTTGTAAAGCCGTAGGCGTGGAGGGTGAGCAACCCCCGCCCACTATAGCAAATCGCAAGCCCCTGAGTGAGCATGTGAGCAAGCATGGGTGCCTGTGATTTGCGACGCAAGGGCGAAGGGGCTGCATTTCCCACAGTGCCGAAGCCAGTGTAAAAAAATGAGGTTATCATTTTGCAAAAAATATTATTACTCATAAACTATCCGTTTCCGCAATTGGGCAAGGACTGGGGGTGCTTCCCCTGAACCTTTCCCCTCCCACTCCCACCACCGTATTCGAGTACCAGATGTCTATAGTTTAACTAAAATGATTTCAGAGTTTGTATTGTTAAAAAATTTATAATAAAATAAAATAATATTTGAAAAGTACCTACACGGTATTAAATCTTGTAAGATTGTACAAAACCCTTCATGCAGAAGTCCGACTCGCACTTGGCCGGTTTTTATAGTTTCAATAAGTTCCTCTCGTCACTCCAAAACCTTCTAAAGGTCGCTATTAAAAAAGTATGCGTCTGTCCACAACCTTTAAAAGGTTGCAATTTATTTATAAACTTCGACACTAAACAGCCGTAGTAAATGTATATGTATCTCCCTCTAACTCCTACAAAATTGTTTTAATATCAGTAACCTACTTATTTCGGTATGGATTGTCGCTATTGAAGTACAAAATGCGCCTTTTTTGTGCCTGTTTCGGGTCATCTTAAGTGCCCACATTACTGTCGAGCTTGTGGTGTAAAAAAAATGTACGCAGAGTTGTGTTTTTTTTTATTAATTATTGTAAAGTGTTATTGTAAATAAAATAAATATTTATAGAAATAATAACAATTATTATTTTTTAAATTTTTTACTCAACAAACTGGAAAAAAATCACTTCTAGCATTTTTATCATGGAATTTAGAAAATATAAAAAAGGTGAACGTACACATTTACACATATTCTATTAACTTACTCAACAATTATTCTAACTACATATTATTTTACACAGTTTCCATACATAATTATTAAGATATTGCCATTGCCACGTAGGAAATAAATCACTCGTTTAGGGTTGGACAGATGCGCCAAAGCGGGCATTTTGGCTGGGACAGTTGAGAGGTTATAGAATGTCAATTTGGCTTACTCTGTTGGTGTATTATTTAAGCTGGTAATTGTAAAATTTAACAAAGTTCATATTATTGTTTTGGTCTTACTATTATATTTCTCAACTTATTACTTATGACACTAAGAAATTATTAAAAGTAAAAGATACTTGGAAATTGAGACATCAAATGAAACTTGAGCATTACTGCTGTAATGGCTCATCAGATTACATAGTGTCTGTTAGAGTTTTATAATATTGTTAAAGATATCATTATCATTCATTACAGCCTATCTAAGGTCAGATGAAGGTAGGCCTCTCCTACAGATTGTTTCATAGGAAGGATATTTGCAAATTTGCCATTCTTAGCGGGGCTCACCCCACCGGGGGGTTAGGAACTGCGTTTTTTATTATTTTAAGTTGATATCAGGAAGATATACTGCACATCTCCTATTAAATTTTTCTCAGCTGCCTCTTATGACACCCACGGGTTGATATGATGGGGGTAATGGATATTCTTACATCGCCACAACCTGGTTAGTCAAAGTTATATGTAAAAAAGTAATGTCATGTATTTGTTTAGTGTGAATGTAAAACACTAAACATTATCCACCTGCATCACACAATTGCTGGATACAGGTCTCATATGAGGGCATGATTTCACTCAATAGCTAGCTCCACCAATTACTACTAATACTAGTTGTGGAAATGTTAACTGCAGAAAACAATAACTTCTTTAGTTTAATGACTAATAGAAGCAACAAAATTGTCAAGGCTGTCTTGTTGTAAGACCAAAGCTCCCTGGATACTAAGAAACAAAAGGCTATCGAATGGTCACTTAAACCAGTTTTCGTGATAATGGAAAAAATCAAGGTACTTGCCTCGATTTTTTCCATTATCACCACAGTAATGGATTTACAAATCATTTTTCAAAGCTGTCCATTAAAGCAAACATTTGTCCAAACATATTCATGCATCATCAGGAATAAGCTTTATTAAATACATTCATACAACCACAACACAACCAATTGTGTTTGGGTATAAATGTTGTTCCATCTGGCATTCAAACTTAAAATTAGACCGTACAACTTAGTAATTTGGCATTGTAAGCACTGAGCTGCATGATCTTCATGAGTACCTTTGTTAAAATGGAGTAAAGGTGACAAAAGAGCACACAGTCCACCTGATGG